GTGGCGCCTTCAAACTTCACATAGACACAGGACGGCATGCGGTGGGCAAGACGGTCGTTGTCAGGCCACACCCAAGAGTGCACATAGCCCCTAGTACCTTTCAGGAGCATCTTGTCCGGCGACCGGTTCAAGTGGTGCGTCAAGGCAACGGGCATGCCAATGGCCAGAGGCAGCACACCACAGACCTGTATCTCGGTCGTGATACTACAACCACCTGCAGGCACACGGCATTCAAATGAAGCTATGCATGTTCAGTCGCGCTTACCAAACCTGCATCCATTTAAATTGCATGGCTGAATACTACATGTTCTTGCGCCCAGCCGCCTGATCTTGGCATCTTTGTCGCACGGGTCTGCCTGCAGTGCCGCCGAGGTTGCTTCATCATGGGCAACGGACCAATACAATGGGGCTCCAGATGCTTGGCTGTAGTTCTTCGCCCTGTCCTTGTTGATCTGGTAGCGTGCGTCGTTGTTGGCAACCACCGCCATGGCCTCTTTGAATCTTGCCTCTTGGAGTCGCAGATCATTGGGCCCCTCTATGACGCGTTTCCTCGAAAGCCGCTCTTCTTCACTCAAGGTGCAGCCCTCCACTGGCAAGCCGTGCAAGTACTTGTGGTTCTTGTCCGAAAGGCGCCCATGCCGCACCTCGTCGCTGACTTCGGTCCACCATTCGTCCTTGCAACGCTCCCGGTCAACGAGCTCCGTGATGCCCTGCACGGCGCCGGCCCAAAAGAGTTGCTTGCCGTGGTCCCCCAGCGCGTTCTCCGGTGCACCTTCCCCATGAGGGTCACGGACAGCGCGAGGCACCTGTGCCAAATAGATACCGGCAGGCGGTGGCAGTTGGTGGAAATCACCTGTGAAGATCACGTTGATGCCGGCAAAGGGGCGCACCTGGCCGTTCTTGGTCTTCCAAGGGTTGCTGACGGGCACAACTTCCCGAAGCTCCTTCTCCGCTTGCCCGAGCAACTTGGCGTCCACCAGGCTGATTTCGTCCAAGATGAGCCACCGCCAATGCGCCATACGTCTGTGTGCCTCGCGCTTTGCACCTTCATCTGGGGGCCCGCCTTTCGCCTTCCAGCCAAAAGCTTTGTGCATGGTCTTGCCTTGCAAGTCAGCGGCGTTGACGGCTTGGAAAGCAGCCACCTCGTAGTCCAAAGCATAGGTATAGCCCATTATGTCGAAGAGCGTGCGGACGAAACCCAATACATGTGATTTGCCCGTTCCCGGCGGGCCATGCAAGAGCCAGACGAGGGGGTCTGTTGTCTGGCGTAACGACTGCGCCTGGCTGATCAAGCCTAGCTCCACCATCACTCTATCCACCACAAGCTTCAAGAACTCGTGCTGCATACGGTTGGTGCCCCTGCGTACCTCCTCACTTTCCAGCCATGCCTGCAAAGCTGCTTTGGTCACACGCGCGCCCTCCTTGATCCACGGGCCTTCTTCTTTGCCCGCTTGAGCCAAGAGGCCTACCACCCTATCCTCATGCGCATCCTCTTCCTTCTTGGCTGCTGCGGCAGCTTTCCTGGCGACCGCGTGGTCGCGTACCTGGCCAGCCTGTAACATGTTCTGATGCCTCGCCTGTGCATTTGCATCTGCTTGCTGCGCGCGGTCTGGTGCTAGCCAGATCGAGCTCGAAAGTTGGAACATCTGCATGGTGAGCTCAAACAGCGTGGAGCACTTGTTCTGCACTCCTGCCTCGCCGTTTTCCTCCTCCTCCTCCTCAACGATCAGCTCATCTTCCTGGCTGCCGTGTGCTTTGCCGCCTCCCCGGACGTGCGTCAGGGTGGCGAGGACAAGGTCATCTTCATCCAGCGCCAAGTCCACGTCGTCCGCCACGTCCTCATCGTCGCTGTTGGGATACAGGCCGTCCTGGAGCTGCAGGTCGCGGGCCAAGAAATGCACGATGCAAAAGTTCAGGACGAAGCGTTTGACTTCGTCGGTGGGGAAGCCATAGGTGAAGGTTCGCTTGAAGCCCTTCGGCTTAAGGCGCAAGGTTTGCAAAGACACAAAAGTTGCGCCCTAAGCCGAAGCCCCTAAAACCCGCATTTTTTGGTGTTTTTTGGGTTGCGCCCTAAGCCGAAGCCCCCATATGATACCTCCAGTGGCAAGCCTGGAAGCTCCATTACAGGGGGATTTGCACCTCAAAGGCTACCACCAAGAAGGTTAAACAGCAGCGAATTATGAGATCCAGGCTTCCCATATGATACCTCCAGTGGCAAGCCTGGAAGCTCCATTACAGGGGGATTTGCACCTCTAAGGCTACCACCAAGAAAGCTAAACAGCAGCTAAGTATGAGATCCAGGCATCCCATATGATACCTCCAGTGGCAAGCCTGGAAGCTCCATTACAAGGGGATTTGCACCTCAAAGGCTACCACCAAGAAGGCTAAACAGCAGCTAATTATGAGATCCAGGCTTCCCATATGATACCTCCAGTGGCAAGCCTGGAAGCTCCATTACAAGGAGATTTGCACCTCAAAGGCTACCACCAAGAAGGCTAAACAGCAGCTAATTATGAGATCCAGGCTTCCCATATGATACCTCCAGTGGCAAGCCTGGAAGCCCCATTACAAGGGCGTTTGCACCTCAAAGGCTACCACCAAGAACGTTAAACAGCAGCTAATTATGAGATCCAGGCTTCCCATATGATACCTCCAGTGGCAAGCCTGGAAGCTCCATTACAGGGGGATTTGCACCTCAAAGGCCACCACCAAGAAGGTTAAACAGCAGCTAATTATGAGATCCAGGCTTCCCATATGATACCTCCAGTGGCAAGCCTGGAAGCTCCATTACAAGGGGGTTTGCACCTCAAAGGCTACCACCAAGAAGGCTAAACAGCAGCTAATTATGAGATCCAGGCTCCCCATATGATACCTCCAGTGGCAAGCCTGGAAGCTCCATTACAAGGGGATTTGCACCTCAAAGGCTACCACCAAGAAGGCCAAACAGCAGCTAATTATGAGATCCAGGCTTCCCACATGATATCTCCAGTGGAATGCCGTGAAAATATTTTGGATGATTTGGGGTCACGAAATTCAATAGCCGGCCGAGGAGCCTTCAAATTGCAGAAATTTGTGTCTAAAAGCCTTCCCGGCCAGGATTTGGCCAAAAACAGCCGTTTCCCAATGATTTCAGAAGAGAAATTTAATTGCCGGCTGAGGGATCGCTAAATGGCAGAAAGTTGTTCCCAGGGGCTGCCAGAAGCTCCCGGAGACCACCAGAGGTTCCCAGAAAGCTTTTCGACGGTTCCCAGAAAGCTCCCAGATGCTCCCAGAAGCTCCCGGAAGCTCCTAGAAGCTCCCAGAAGCTCCCAGAAAGTTCCCAGAAGCTTCCAGAAGGCCCCCAGCTCCCAGAAGCTCCTAGAAGGCTTCCAGGACGCTCTTAGAAGGTTCCTAGAAATTCCCAGAAAGGTCCCAGAAGCTCCTAGAAGCTTCTCCCGGCCATGATTTGGCCAAAAACGGCCGCTTCCCAATGATCCCAGAAGAGAAATTCAATGGCCGGCCGAGGAGCCGCCAAATGGCAGAAATTATGTTTCCAGAAGCTGCCAGAAGCTCCCAGAAGGCTCCCAGAAGGCAAATAGAAAGGTCCCAGAAGCTTTAAGAACGCTCCCAGCTGCTCCCGGAAAGCTCCTAGAAGCTCCCCGAAGGCTCCCAGAAGGCGCCCGGAAGGCTCCTAGATCAGAAGGCTCCCAGAAGCTCCAACAAACATCCGGAAAACTCCTAGAAGGTTCCCAAGGCTCCCAGAAGTGTCCGAGATAGCTGCCAGGGGCTGTCAAGCATGTTCCGGAAAACTTCCAAGCTCGAGCTCCAAAAGGTTGCCAGGCTTTGCTCCGACAAGGACCAATAATAAAGACCCGCCGTGGCGCACACTTGGCGCAAGCCACCTAAAATTTAGGGTACAGTAGGGTTGTAGGCTTTAGAGCCGCGTTGTGTATATAGTTACATGTTTACATCCCACCCGCCCAAGGTACCCTATCCATTGTGTGATATACACCTTCTCATTCACACCGTTGTTACATGCATCACACCTTTTCTGGCCCCAAACAACAAAACCTGGAAGGGAAAGCCGTTCTTACAAGCTTCTAACCCTGCAGGGCAGCCCCCAAAAGCCTCCTGGCCAGGATTTGGCTCAAAACGGCTGTTTCCCAGTGATTCCAGAAGGCACCTTTAATTGCCGGCCCGTAGGCCGCCAAACTCCCAAAATCAGGCTCCAAAAGGCTCCTAACCAGGATTTCGCCCAAAAGGCCCGTTTCCCAAGGATCCTAGAAGGCACGTTTAATTGCAGGGCTTCAAGCCACCAAAGTCCCAAAATCTGGCTCCAAAAGGCTCCTGGCCAGGATTTGGCCCAAAAGGGCCGTTGCCCAAGGATCCTAGAAGGCACGTTTAATTACAGGGCTTCAAGCCACCAAAGTCCCAAAATCTGGCTCCAAAAGGCTCCTGGCCAGGATCTGGCCCAAACGGGCCGTTTCCCAAGGATCCCAGAAGGCACGTTTAATTGCAGGGCTACAAGCCACCAGAATCCCAAAACCTGGCTCCAAAAGGCTCCTGGCCAGGATTTGGCCCAAAAGGGCCATTTCCCAAGGATCCCAGAAGGTACGTTTAATTGCAGGGCTACAAGCCACCAGAATCCCAAAACCTGGCTCCAAAAGGCTCCTGGCCAGGATTTGGCCCAAAACGGCTGTTTCCCAATGATCCCAGAAGGCGCTTTCAATTGCAGGTTTTGGACCCTAAACCCTTCCAGCATGATGGATTTAGCAGCTAAAACCAAGGGTTTTTGACCCTAAACCCACGAAAAATGCAGGTTAGGGACCCTAAACCCTTCCAGCATGACGGATTTAGCAGCTAAAACCAAGGGTTTTGACCCAAAACCCTTGAAAACTGTAGGTTTTGGGCATACTTTTGACTGAAAATGACCCTAAACCCTCGAGTTTTTGAAGATTTTGACATGAAAATATTGGAAAACACAAGGGATTTGACCCTAAACCCTCTTGAGGCACCTTTAGGGCTCCTTGTGTTTAGGACCAAAATGGCCATTAAGGTTTAAATATACATATGATATATTGATTTAGGGTTTAGGGTGTCGCTGATAGTTGTGTGTTGGTGCCCGATCTTATCGGGGGGCCTCATCATTTGTTTTTAACGGCCCCCCTCTTTCCAATTGGGCACCAACACACGCGCGGCCAGCTGTCACATCCCACCCCATAAAAACCACCCAAACCTAAAGCTTTTAGGGTTTAGGGTTATCAACCCCCTTGGCCCCCCACTCTTGGGGGGAATGAAACTAAAACGTTGAAACTTTGAACCTTGAAACCCAAATGTTGAAATTGAAACAAGATAAGGGAAGTGAAGGGGCAGAGACAGGTGTTTAAGGGACCCCTCAAAACGTTCAAGTTTCAAGGTTTGGACCCTCCAAAACGTTAGGGTTTCAAGATCTGGGCCCCCTAAACGTTGAGGTATCAACCCCCCCTGCCCCTCCGCTCTTGGGGGAAATTAAAGGGTTTTAAAAAATAAACCCACGTTGAGGTTTCAAGCTTTGGACCCCGCAAACGTTGAGGTTTCAAGGTTTGGACCCCCCAAAGGTTGAGGTTTCAGGGTTTGGACCCCCCAAACGTTGAAGTTTCAAGGTTTGGACCCCC